GGGGCGGGGGGAGGAATCCCTGGTGTTGCTGCAACTCCGCAGCCCCGGGTAACTTCGGCGTTAAGTTTGCGCGTCCGGATGCCTGGGGGCTCCTCTCGCCCCTCGGCCCCCGCCGGGGGGAGGCGCGGGGTCCGGGGGGGCTCAGGGCGCAAATCCCCCCCGGGGGAGGCCGAGGCAGCGAGGTGCTGAGCAATAAAGATGATTATTATTGCTATTATTAATAACGCCGTTATTGCTATGCAAGGCGCTGCTGCTGTCGCCACGGGAGATTTATGCCTTTCCCCGCTCCCAGACGGCTGCCGAAAGCAGAAACTCGCCAAGAAGCGTTTTGGGGAAAGTCCGTGACGAGGAGGGGCTGGCGAGTGGGAGGAAGGCAGGGCAAGGAATTTTGGTGTCTGCACTTTTTTTTTTTTTTTTAAGTGCTACTTTTGTTTCACATCGCAATTATCTTCCCTCCTTTAATTCCGGCGCTCACTGCTTTGGGTTAAGTGCTGACGGGGGGGAATTTACGTTTAGCAAAACAAGAAAAAGAGGGACCACAAAGGCTCTTTGGACTTCGCTGGGAAGGTATGAGCCGTCGGGGGGGGTTTGCATCGCCTTTTTGTGTGTGTGTGCACCTTCAGGCTGGTAACTCTGGCGAGAAAAAGAAGGGTGTCCAAGTCAACATTTGACTTTTGAGAGAACTGACTCTGGGCTGGACAGGCAAGGTTTTCCAGGTGATGGATAAAGCCTTATCCCAAGGACTACGGTGTTTCCAGCTATTGTTCTGGCTGCAGCCTTCCGATCCCAGACGGGAGGGTTCCGAGCAGGGGACACCGTTACGGCGATTTCCCCCCCCCGCCCCAGCTGACTTTTTATGAACTGCTCCGACATAAATCTTCTGCTACGGGATAGTTCCTATTTTGGAGCCCCGGCGTTGAAATTCCAGGGAAGGAAAGAGGAAAACCAGTCGTGGACTATTCTTTTAAAGACTCCTCTGTAGGTGAAGCGCTCTCTAGGTTTCTGAACGTGGATCTCCACTGACCCGTTTGGAGCACCTAGGCAATCAGAAGTACCTCGGACTCTGCAAATAACTCCTCTCAAGTGCAAAATTTTGTTTTAACCTTAACTGGCAGCCGAAAAAAAGCCCTGTTAAGAAGGTCGTTGCACGTTTATATGTTGAGCTCCTGTAAGTAGATTTTTTTTAGGCTCCCTGCGTCTTGCCATCTTTGCTTTGGTTGCAGCTTATTTTTCTTTAAAATGTAACTCCCTCGCACTCGTCACGAAATCAGCAGCAAATGTTGCAATCTGACTGGGTTTCCCTTCAAAGGGAGCACAGGAAATATTTTGGATTTAAAACACTCCCTCAAAGTTACGGCCATAAATCACAAAGTTTAAAGACAAGCCAGTAGCAAAATGAAAATACTCAGCTGAAATCCAGGGCAGCCGTGCTTATTCTGGGGTTGGTGGAGGGAAGGGGAAAAAAAAAAAAGAAAAGTCACGTTGGGTGACTTTAGAGACTTTGGAGAAGGAATGGCTTCCAAGCCTGATGGAGAGGGGGGTACGGAGGCACACACAGACAGGGGACCAGGTAGGACATTCGGCAAAACTCACCAGTTCTCGGATGTCTGGTCCAGCAAATACGAGGCAGCGGTGGACTTTGAGAGAGGAGAAGAACTGGGTGGGGGAAAAAAGGGAGAAAACAACAAAAAAAAAGTATGAAACTTCGGTCAGAAAAGCGTGGACAAGGGGATTCATCACAGAGGGAAACCTTTGGGTGGAAGTGGGGAGAAGATAGGCTCTAATGAACAAAAGCCCCCGCGTTTCCTCCGAGATTATCGCCCGTCCGAGCCACCACAGCCTTTCCAGGTCTCCATCCACTGCTAACCCGGTGTTCCC